CATTCCAAATAAATAAATTAAAATTTTTGAAATAATTTATTACACTTCACGTTAATTTACTTAATTGGCAAAGACTTTAATATATATATCTTTGTCATACATTATTTTAACGTTACATTAAAAATAAAATATTTTTCGTATGGCCACACTAATATTAATAATGCTGATAGTGATAGAATTGTAAAAGATGAATCAATAAGGAATTAATGAAACTAAAGGTATCATTATCGCCATATTTTTATTTTGTCCCGGAAAAATTAGGAACGTATGTATTTAATTCTGCGATTCTCCAACCTATTCAATGATTTTTATTAGCTCGCGATCTTATCTGATCTGGACAACCCTGCAAATTGTATTAACTAATAAAAACTAATACCCATTCTATCACAATTTCAATAAAAAATATCAGATGTGTTTATTCATTCAAAGAATTTTCCAAACAAGTTTTATACTCATTGGAAGAAAGTATGTATGTAAGTATGTCGACTGAATCCTTTTAGATCACACAATGGTCACACAATGTTTTAGTTTATGGAATAGGTAAAAATCAAACGGAGTCAAATCACGTGTATATGGTGGTGTAGGAATAGTTTTATGATGATTCTGGCTATTGATATTTCGTTAAACTTTGTAAAATAAATTTATTTTGAACAATTCTATTTGAATTCTTCCAATGGAGTATTTACTGCATAATAGAAAGGCATGCTATAAGACTAGGTCTTCCCCATAATGACCAATGTCGCGGTTGTGGCTCTGAGGACGAGAAGAGCCACATGGAGAGTTAGGAGAAGATCAAAAATCTTGGGAGCCCCTTTTCTTACTTATCTGTCTGAACTGTTATTCTGCAATGTTAGAGACTTAGCCAGATTATAAGAATTGTCAAGTTGATTTACCTTTAAGTAATGGGGGAGTCGTTGCCTCTCACGGCGTTGATCGTATACTAAGCTTATAGTCTATGTACGAACCAACGCTATTCCTGTGGTACTACAGCGAATTATTATTTGTGCTCAAGTGAGCGCAACACTATAGAGGCATAAAAGTTTTAAAAAAAATTTTGACAAAAATTAAGATTTTCCCAAGAATGCTTAAAAACTTGTCATAAATGTATTCACCATAATTTGCCAAACCATTTATTTACAATAATGTAACAAATATATAATAAGAATAATATTTAATGGATTTATTTTTAAATATTTCGGTTTGGAGCTATTGTGAGTTATTAGACTATATATTCTTCTTGGTCACAGTTTTTTTTCAACATCCTGTATTTCAGTATATATTCCTAATGTGTTTTCTGGTAGAGTTTTTAGTTACCTTCGGTAGCTAAAGCATTCTGAAACAAAATACCCTGAATGAAGTTGTAATGTGTTTTTAAGAGCGTTTCGGTAGCTGATGTTACCGAAACCGTTGGTTGTTTCTTCCATCATATGTTACAATTTTGGACGCTACGAAGTACCATCGAAGTAATAAAAGACCTCAGTGTAGCAAAAAAATGGATCGCTTCAAACTTTTTAAATGTACATCAGAATGTTGGTATCAGAATATAAGTGCGATTTTGAATTATGAAAAATAATGATTTATATAAATACGAGAGTTGCCACCTTAAAAAAGTTACCTGTTGAAAAGCAAGCTATTCTCTATATTAAATTCTAATTAAAATTTCATATATAAAAAAATCAAAAAATTATTTTTTTAAATAAATTAATTTTTATTAACTAAAATTTCTTGATTAAAACGATGTTAATCCGAATTTAATTTTTATAAAATTTGAAGGAAATTGGAAATGATTATAAAAATATTTTTTATCGTATTTTTTTTATTAAAACCGATAGCTTTAATAAGAAGATTATTTTGATTATGTTTTCAAATCACTACGTGATTATTTTTTGACAATTAACCATCTAGATATGGTTTAAGTTCCTTAAAAAATATTTAAAACATATAAAAATTGCAATTTTTCACGTTTTTTCAAAAATTTTAGATATAAATGTACAAAAATTGTTAGATTGTTTCACGTTTGTAATCAACTTGGATGAAAAAGTTCAACTATCTGCAATTATTCAAGAAATTCCTTTAAATGAAAATTATTTTTTTGAATTAAATGCTGATTCTTGTGGGTACTGTAATCTTGCTTTCAAAATTGTGGTACATTAGTAGATAAGTGGTAGATAAAATAAGATAAATTAAGGGTATTTATTTAACAGATGATTACTTCAATGTGGCAACAATCAAATAGTTTGCCGTTTATCAAAAGGTTGATGGTATATTTTTACGCATAATTATACAAATATTTATGTTAAAATAAATAATCGTCGTGATATAAGTAAATGGAGGATGGAATAGAGGTTTTGAAGTTGTTCTTCTTCTTTTGCGTCGCCCTGTTTTTGTGCAGTTAACTAGCATTTTTGCATTTTTTGGTGATATTATGTTATTTTTGGTGCTGTTAATTAGAACTTTTGCCTGTTTTTAGTACTGTTAGCTAATAATATTACTTATTGATTTTTTTTTTATTTAGCAAGATATCTTTATTCATATATCATATATCTTTATTTAGGCTTTTACTTAAAGTCTAACAAAATGTTTTAGAATCTTTAAAACTTATAACATTGCATTACAAATTATTTTATACATACATACATATAAATAATAATAAAAATAATACATATAAATTATATATACATACTACAATGAATTATAAAATGAATTGTAAATTGTTTAAAGGGGTCTCTGAATAAGTAGCCAGGGCTTATTTAGCAGATTTACTTATTCGTGATAGGAATAGGAATAAACGGGGTACTAGCTCCCAACGTAGCAGAGCACTGCGACCATGACTATTATTCGTGATAATATTTTTGTTAAATTTTTTCTTTGTTTTGTTTCGCCCGTTTTTGGTGTTTTTAGCTAGCACTTTTTGGTGGTTTTAGCTAGCACTTTTCTTATTTTAATAAGAACTAGCACTTTGTAATATTATGTAATGTTACATTTCTTTAATTGCTCTTATTCGTCTCTCATGTTTGTTTTACCCATTTTCGGTATTACTAGAAAACACTTCGATTTTAACATTAACTGTTTGCATAGGTGAAGCGAATAGATATATATTTCGTAATTGATATATATTTAATTAAGAAGAGAAAATCACATGCAGTGAGATATTCTGAATATATAATATTAATTAATTATTTTAGTAAATAATGATCTTACTCTTTATCATAAAGCATTATTAAGCTATACTTTTAACAACTTTAAATATATTTTCTGTTCTTAAACAATATTTTCTCCGTACAATTATTTTTCACTTGTTACCATACAAAACTTAAAAATGTTCAAAATATTTTTTGCAAATAAAAACGAATTAATTAATTTGTTAATAAAACCTACCTCAACAGGTTTCAAATTGTAGTGTATAATTAGAAATTTATCGCTACTTTGTACAAGTCTATTTTTATACTAGGTTTTATATTCAATAAACCCACACAAATTATGATTAAATCAAATCGAATAAAGAGTATAAAATACAAAAGATAATTGAATCATGAAAATATTCAGTGAGAAAACATTCGATTTTGAAGTGAGCATTTAACTGTCAATGTTGATGCATTCACGACGACAGTTCAATGTACCGCAAATTATTCGGAAGAAACTTTAATAAAAATCAAAATAATAATAATCATAATTAATACAAAGATAATTAAAATAAAAATGAAAAATAAATTGAAACCAATAATTAAAAATCGATAAAAATAAAATAAAATTTTAATCTTAATGAAATGCCGCAATAAACATCAAATTAGCAACAAAATCAAACAAATTAAAAAATATTTATACGAAATTATGAACAAAAGATTTTAATTTAATTTAAAATTAATTTAATTTAATCATTAAAAATTACCACACAAAAGCGACAAAGAATAAGATACCGAAATGTATTTAAGCATGTATAAAATAAAATGTATATAATTATTTAATATTATTAAAAAATAATAACACTAAAAAACTGTATCGGTAAAGGTCAAAACAACTGCCATAAAAGAACCAAGAATTAGATTTATCCATGCTTTCAGCTTACCAGTAAGGTAAATTGAAAAAAAGTGTAATACCAATCGAAGACACAATCACACAACACAAAACAACGGGTACGCGATTGCATTGTACTTAATGAGCTCAACACTGGCTTTGATAGATCAAGGTTACCGAATGTAAAGCTTTGGGAAAAAAGTACCAGCGACCAGCTGCCACACAAAAATGAGGAAAAATATTTTATTTAATGTTAATATTTTTTCTGTATTCTCAAATAGAAACTCGTCACTGTAATGTGAAAAAAAGAAATCATGTTGTAATTATTACTGACATATTTATCAATGTGTAATTAATTGGATTTAATGGCTGACATGAGTATCCAAAAATCTGGGTTAAGAAAGCTCTAAATAAAGTTCTCCATAAGTACTTTATGTATAACACTACTAAGACTCATACGAGCTGTCAAAGTTTAATGACAGTTGATGGTACATTGAGTGATGTGAAAAAATTAATTACGGTCTGAAATAATAAATAAAATCGCTGAAAGTCAATCTTACAACTGCTGGTTGATTATAAGAAAACGAATTACATTATATATAATAAATTTATAAGTGAATTAAAGTTAAAGTTATAATTTTTACTGTATTTCTGTATACAATTATAAAGAGCTGGAGTCTATATTGAATATTTATCAATACACAAGTGTCAAAACAAAAATTATCTTAAAATACTTTTAGTTAAAAAAAACTGTTAATAAAATGTTATTAATAAAACGGATTAAATTAATCCGAAATCAAATATTGTTTTGAAAAACTTTATTTTAAAACATTTATAAATTTTCTCTTGTTTATCAATAGTTTATTACCTTAAGTACTTGGGACCGGGGGACTTATGCTCGGTCTTTGAAGCTACCTGCAGCTTTTTTTCACAAAAATGTGTAAATTAATATAATTATTATTATTAAATATAAACCATATTTTAAATAATTTATTTGTTAAAACATTTATTTATAATCCTAACCTCTAAAAAAATCAATCACTGAAATAAATTGCTACATTTTTAAATCATATAATTTAGGTGACATCGTTTCATTTCTATTCTTTGACTTGTTCACATCTGCGGTCACTATACCATACTCAACAGCCATATTGGATTGTTTGCTTTGTATATCTTCTGAAGTCATAACCATTGAAAGGGACAATAGTTTATTCGGACATTTGTCAAACTCCTCTTTTTCTGATTCGTTACGCGTCTCTATACACTGCTGCGTGTCCTTTTCGGATGAACTACATAGTTTCGTTTCGTTCTCGTATGGCCGTTCATTAAGTCCTTTCACACACTGCGAGCAATGACCTATTAGCTTATCCTTCGACTCATCATGACTATTTCCACAGTGCTGGAAATCTGCACTTGGATGTAAACTTGTAATTAGCTGCACTGTAGATTCATTTTCAGAATTTATTTTAGGGCTAAGAGAGATGATAGAAGTCTTACAATTTGGTGTATTAAGCCAATGAATTTATTCAGCAAATAAAATTTTACGTTCATTGATCATTTCTAACCATTTTCGTTTTTCTGAAGCTAATTTAACGAAAGGTTTTTTTTGAGTGTATGTTATTGAATTCCAGTAGTTAACTACAAATTGCCGCAGAAGACGTTCAGGTACATGAATATCGATTATAGATTGCTTCTCTGTTAAATTTGTAGTAGACGCATTTGGTTGGTTATCTTCAACATCACCATGCGTTTAACATAATAATATCCTTTTGTACTCATCAAAGAAATTTTTAAATGGATTTACATTTATATTCTCATTTCCACCGATACTAGGTTGATCGATATTTCATCATCGCTAGGTTGATCCAATATTTTAATTATTTAAATAAAATTAAAATTCTTAATATTTTAAAAATATTTTCAACCTCAAGTTATAATTTACAACTGAAACTTTATTTTAGTTTTATTTTATTTAATAATCATTATTTTAATTTATTTCAGGATTATTTTAAATATTATTGCTGAAATGATAATACGTCATTTCGATAATATTATAATAGTTAATAGAGATATATCTTAGATTATTATTTGATTATTCTTTTTAATTGGATCGAATTTCTGAAGACTATTTTTAATAGATACTTTTATTAATTTTATACAGTGTTTGTTAACGCTGTACCGCAATCTTATATAAATACGAAAAATTGTTATTTTCTTAAAAAGTAATTAAATATATATTTTTTAAAAAAGTATCAGCTTTGAATCACTATAAATTTTGAACTTATTTAATATTGGAGGATATTCTATGCATCAAAAAATGATTAACAATTAAAGTTATTCAAATGAAATGGAATTCTTCACTCTTAAAATTTTTTTTCATATATTGTACGATTTCTGGTGACCATTCCTATGTTTAAGTTTTCAGTTGGCCTATCTGACAAGTAAGCTCGATGATTTTGCTTGTTTGCGTACTGCTCAATTACGAATGGACACTTGTCAGAAAAAATCAAATTCGGCAATCCATAACCTTCGGCCAAACAAACCAACACTTTGGCTGTTTCGACTCTAACTTCTTTTTGTTCATTGTTGAGATCTTATACTTTATTCAACGTCAATAGCTTTAGTCCGAGTTCATTTTTCCTCATTTGGTCCCAGCGAAGACGGATGTGTTGCATTCTTCCTCGCGACACGTTCAGCTTCTTTGCTTTTTGATTGCAGCCGCGGCGTTGTTTTCACTCAATTTGTTTCTTCACTTTACGAATCATTTCAGGTATTTTTACTGTTTTTTTGTTTTTGGTCCACCTCCTGGGCGTCGGGCAACGGTACCAGTATCGCGGTATCGAGGTATAGTACGAGACACACAAGGTTTGTACACATTTAGGTGTTGCAGGGTTCGAACAATAACCACTTGTGTTTTTTCCAGCGAGATATGAAGCAATCACACTATCACGTTTGAACTCCATTGACAGCTAGATTGGTCCGAAGTTTGCTGCAGCTTTCGTCAGCAACCCCCTATAATATAATATATAATAAAAATAATAAACGAATCTGTTATATTTTCAATCTGTTCAATTATCAATCTGTTATATTTTTCAAGAATTAATTGATACTCAATAATGCGTTTCTTAGATAGCTTCTTTGAATCTATCGAATTTCTATTAATTTTCTCATACATTTTGAGCTCAACACCACACCACAAAGCGGCTCAACATAAACAATATTAATTACAAAATATAATTTTCATGGTAAATTAAACATGAGGCAAGCATCGAAGCAACAATAACGAATTGTAATACGATATCGGTATTTATAGGCTCAACAGTTTGACTCGCTTGTCTAAAAAGTTCAGTTTTATGAAAGCCATCATAATGACTAAAATATTCATTCTTTTTATCTCTTATATCAGACATGCATCAATGAATGGTAACGCAGTATTTGAAATTGCAATGTCGTTTAACTTAAGTATTTAATCATTCACAGCAAAAATAATTCTGCTTTTTTCTTCAAGTCTTATAAACTTGGCTTAGTGCTCCTAATAACAGAGTAAAAAGTAAATTAAACTCTAATGAAAGTAAGGCAATCATAAAATAAGAAAGTGAAGAAATTTAAAGAAATTGACAACTTATACGAGTACGAAGTCATAGAAGAGGTACACACACATACATTAAAATTACATTACAACTTTCATTAAACGTAAATTTTATAGTCCACACAGTCTGTAGTCGTCTAATCTGCGCGATCAAAAGTTTATTCTCCGCAATAAAGCCAGACTTAAGCGCTTTTAATTACACGCGATCACGCACTCGTTACTGTTGTAAGAGAGTTACTGAAATCGTTAGAGGCGGGATGAAAAGTATTACCGGGCCTGTCGGTACGCGGCACTTAACAGTCACAGTTTTATTTTTGTTTTTTGTCAAATTGAAAAAACAAGAAAGAAAGAGTAAGTAAAGTTAACAGAAGCCTACAAATTGTTCTTTGTTTTACTGACTTGAAGAAAGCAAATTTGGGCCATATAAACAGAAGACGCGCTTTCGGAGAAATTATAAATTCTTGTCATGCGCGAAGAATTTTACGACAATTGTGCGTAATTGTGTGTGAAAATAATGTAGTTGAAAATGGAAAATTTCTTTCTCCTTTACATCTATTTTTTCTATTATTTTTTTCTTTTTCAATATTATAAATATTAAATGCCATTTTACAATTTCATAATAAACAAAATGTGGCATGTCTTGACCTTTTATTTCACATTCAATTTTTACAGTGTATTCACTTCAATTGTATGCCTCCTATGATACAAGTTTTTTTCAACAAGTTTCTAGAAAACTTATGAGAAACTATGTTTATTTAACTGGAAAGTATGATTTTCACAATTCTACTGCATTTTTTACTAATAAATATTGTGCGATTAACAAACATTTCTTTGTGATGCTTTGCTGAGTTCCTGTTCATATAGAGATTGATGAAAACGCGTCTGTGAATACTATCGCTAGAATTGGATCACCCACTAAATTCTGTGGACCGGAATCTTATTGTGGTACAAATTGATCCACAACAAAGCATCTGTTATAACATATTCAACTATAATATATTATTTTCAATTCTTTTATTTTTTGTTCTATATTTTTCAATTATTAACCTACGTAAGATTGTCCATCAACTTCTCCCGTGACATGCTGACCTGCTAATCAATATTAATCTTTAACATCACAGTATCTAAAATCAAATCATAGAAATATTTTCCGAAATTGATGGCAATAGAGTATTTTAACCATTACCAGCATAATTTTTATACCTATTTCCTGTTTCGCATTCTTCTTAGTTTTTCTTTATTTTATATAATCCCAAAATTAAGATACAAATGGGTGTATCTCAAAAAGATAGATAGGAAGAGAAAATTGAACATTTTCATCAATTAATCTGATGGATTTAATCAGAAGTCTATATACTTTAATCTATTGCAAGCGAAATGTTTTCTTTATATTTAAAGGCTTTTAAAATCTATCTATTTTTGTATTTATTTATATATAACAGCTAGGATTCGTATTTTATTCATATTAATATTATTACTAATATTTATTAAAAGAAGTTCTCTGTGTTTAATAGTATAAAATATAATGTTAATTTATTATTTGCTATTGTTTATTTTGAATTTCAGTTATTTTTAATTCGTCCAGTTTATCTATTTGAACGAAAGCAATTTTTTCTGTTTATTCTATTTTTTTTGTTCGGTTTCTTCTTTTTTATACTTCTTTTTCTCTTTTCTTTTCTTCCTTTTTTCTTCCTCTTTTTCCTTTTCTTTTTTCTTCTTTTTCTATTTTTTTTCTTTTTTTCTTCTTCTTTTTCTTCTTCTTCGTCTTCTTCTTCTTCGTTTTTTGTTCTTCTCTTTGTTCTTCTTTTTCTTCTTCTTTTTGTTTTCTTCTTCTTTTCCTTTTCTTCGCTTTTTGTTCTTCTTCCTTTTCTTTTTCTTCCTCTTCTTCTTTTTCTTTTTTTTCTTATTCTTCATCGTTTTTTTGTTCTTCTTCTTCTTTTTTTTCTTTTTTGTTTCTCTTTTAGTCTTTTTTTTCTGTTTTCTTTTTCGTTTATTTGTTCTTCCTTTTTTTTTTTTCTTTCTTTACTTCTATATCTTTTCTGCTTCATCTTCTTCTTTTTTTTACTTTTCACCTTATTGTCTGCATTTTTTTTCTTATTTTTTTTCTACTTTGTTCTTTCTTATAGGCTAATGTCTGTTGTGGACGATAAGAAGAAAGAAGAAATTTATTATTCTATATACTATATATATGTATATATACTATATACTATATATTCTATATAGGTATATGTATATTACTAAACATGTGTTTTAGGAGAAAATCACGCTACTTTACAGTTTCTATAAATTTGGAGGAAACAAGTACCAACAATTTAAAGGGCGATGAGTTGATAATGCAATTTAACTGTTTCTCCTAATTTATACAAGCAGTTTACAAGTCTTGCATATAGACAGGGCGGATTTATACGATTATGTTACTTATATACAATTAAATTTTAATTTTGGTTTTTTGTTTAAATCAATACCTAATTTTCCGCTAAGTTTTCAAAGATCAACGTTACCTTCCTACTGGTATTCATTCTCAGATAATCTTTATCAAGCGATTGCTTAAATCACATGATGTTATATACTGATTCCATGCTCGCCTTCTAGACCTTATAAATTTTATAATATCGATGACATCTGTTTGAGTTCTTATACTATCTTGTCCATTTATTCTTGCTAATACGTGGAGTTTTTGGAATTTTTTAGATTATAACAGTTTTAAACTGTTCAAACTAACAAACTAAGTATTTCAAACTATTTCCGTAGACCACAATAGTTCAATTCCACACAAGTGTTAACTCAAAAAAACATTCCAGAGGTTTAAAATTTTATTTTCAATTATATATTTAATTATTTTTTACTAATTTAATATTAATAATATTTTTATTACACAGTTAAACTTTGAATATAAAAATAAATTAAATTTTTAATATTCGAAACTACTAATCACTAAAATATTTGAGTTAATACTTTTCGTTGAAGTATTCTTCCATGAGGTATGGTTTTTCCTCTGAAATGAGCAATTTTCTTTGAAAACTTAATTAAATTTTGTTTATTGAGCGAGAAGTATAAAACAGTACTGCCAACTATTTCTCCGTAATATTTCGTAGATTATAACTGCTATTCTACCACAGAAGTGGTGGTATCACATATTGCAATAAATTAGCTAGAACATCCTGTCCATGAGTACTACGAACTTTTAGTAGTATTAGAAAGCGTGCAGAATAATTGACTTTCACAGTATATTTAT